CACAAGTGGGTATGGTTTCCCCTCAGACATAGCTCAAAGTAATGTAAAGTACAAGATCTGTGTTCTGAATCAAGTGCATTTTTATAGAGTACATGTGAACAGCTATTTAGAAGAATTAATGCAATTTTACAAAAACCTGTGGTTTAGTCCGTGGTTTGGGCTTGAAGGTCATTGGATTACTTCTAAGGGCATCATAAGCAATTTGTTGATTTTGCTGCAAATTCTGTCTATGCATTAGTAAAATCTGCTATACTTTTAAACCAAAAATTCTTCCCCAATCAGGAGAGCCTTTTGCTTCAAAAATTATATAAATGGCGTAATTATACTGTAATCAGCCTATAACAAAAAAAAAGCCCTTTAAATGTGTTTTCACTCAGTAATTCATACAAAAGCCCTTCAAATACAGGAAAAAAAAGCCAGCACAAAAGAATTCAGGCTTTGAAAGCAATGGGCTGGGCTATGCTGGCACAGAACACCACGGAAAGCTGTATGGATCATGCAGTATGTTAGACTGGACTGTGATAGTGATACAGCCCAGCCTTAAAGATCTATGAATCACCGACAAATTCCTTGCATGATGAAACAAATATAACTTGAGAAGAGCTTTCAACTCCTACTTGCTCTCTCTCTCCCATGTAAGCATTGGAACAAATAGGATGATCTTTGTGGTTTTCTAAAAAAAATTCAAACAAGTCAGAAGATTAGCATTTTCTAAAGTGTCTTCACTCACTTATAAATCTCTTATCTAAAAGTCACTCCATTTGATGGTGCCACTTTTGATTTAAAAACAAAATAAGCTTCAGTTTTCAGTCGTGTCCTTCATGGCAGAATCTAGTAGTTTCTGACTGCCCAACAAGAGCCTCATGTCTAATGTCTCAGAAAACCAATATTGCTGTTACAGATCTCTACAGGAGGATAAATAAAGCTGCTCAGGGGGCTTGTTGAAGTGAAGAGCAGTTGAAATGTGCCCGTGGTGCCCCAGCAGCAGCCCTCAGGCTGAGTCCTGTCTCTCTAGGATCAGTGAGGTCCCACCCAGTGGGATCTGTGGCCAGAAGAGAGTAGAACCAGCTGTAAGGGCAGTGTGTCTCCAAGAAGACAACATCTTCTCTCGGGTTTGCACACAGCTGGTCTTTGAAGGGCCAAGCTGCAATTGTCCATCTCCTCCATGCAAAGGTCCCAGCCATGCATTAATTGTTCACTGCCTGGGAATTTCACAAATCAAGAAGTCATAACAATGTCTGCTTCCTAGAATATGCAAAATCCATACTGGGGAAAAAGGCATTTAAATAAATCGTACATTTTGCAAGGTTTCCTTGAGTCACTAGTATAATTTTGTTTATAAAAAAATAGGTAATATTTTCTTCTTTAATAGTGGAAGTACCACACAAGTTTGTCACCACTGTATTTGAAGGCAAAGGGCATCATCTTCACGTGCTGCTTTTTAACAAATGGAGTTGCATAGATAGTAAAATATTTTTTGTCTCTTTGCAAAGAACATAAAAGCGTGACATCAGTGAACAGCTTGCTTTTGAGGCCATACTTGTTCACTGCTTTCTTTGGGCTATAGATAAAGATCTTTTGCTGATGTCAGTGGGAGCTGGATGGGCCCTCAAAGGCAGCCTGCTGGACTGAAGATCTTGAGATACGTGTCTAGTTCACCAGTGATTCATTCTGTCATGATCAAAAAGTCACTGCAGTTCTCATCTGAGCATTTGTTATTAAATAGATCCATTGAAGTCAGAAGCAGACTTTGCAAGGAAATTAAGTCCAGAGAGGTGATTCTGCCACTTTACTCTGCTCTGGTGAGACCTCACCTGGAGTATTGTGTGCAGGTCTGGAGCCCTCAATATAAGAAGGACATGGACCTGATGGAGAGGGTCCAGAGGAGGGCCACAAGGGTGATCAGGGGGATGGAGCACCTCTGCTCCAAGGACAGGCTGAGGGCGCTGGGGTTGTTCAGCCTGGAGAAGAGGAGGCTCCGGGGAGACCTAATAGCAGCCTTCCAGTCCCTGAAGGGAGCCTACAGGAAGGCTGGGGAGAACCTGTTTAGAAAGGCCTGTAGTGACAGGACGAGGGGCAATGGCTTCAAGCTGGAGGGGAACAGATTTCGTTTCGAGATTAAGACAGTGTTCTTCACTGTGAGGGTGGTGGAGCACTGGAACAGGTTGCCCAGGGAGGTGGGTGAGGCCCCTTCCCTGGAGATATTCAAGGAGAGGCTCAACGAGGCCCTGGGCAACCTGGTCTAGTTGGGGGTGTCCCTGCTGACTGCGGGGGGGTCGGACTAGATGGGCTTTGGAGGTCCCTTCCGGCCTGGGCAATTCTATGATTCTATGATTCTGTAAGTGCCCAGGAACAGAGAAGAACTATTGCAATTTTTGAGTAAATCCCAACACTAGAGAGATGTATGTTGCAATCAGTGCTTCCGTTTGGAGTCTCAAAGCTTTGTGGAGGCCTCATGTGCATGGACATGGCCCAAGCTCCACCAGGTCCCACGGGAGCTCCATTGCCTTCCTGTTCCAGCCCCTGTGCCCACACGGAGGGGTGGATTCCCCCTGATCACTGGAAGGGAACAAGGCGTTAGACGTAACGCTTCCTATCTGTAGCTGCCATCTCTCTTTCAAAATGTGGAGCAGGGGCTGTGGTGACACTTTTACACAACAGCTTCAGGGTCACAGCACGCACTTTGCTGGCGAGCTTGCCCTTTCAACAAGGTGGCCAAGAAAGCCAATGGCATTCTGGCTTGTATCAAAAATAGTGTGACCAGCAGAAGTAGGGAGGTGATTGTGCCCCTGTACTCGGCACTGGTGAGGCCACACCTCGAGTGTTGTGTCCAGTTTTGGGCACCTCAATCCAAGAGAGATCTCGAGGTGCTGGAGCGAGTGCAGAGGAGGGCAACGAAGCTGGTGAAGGGCCTGGAAGACAAATCATATGAAGAGCGGCTGAAGGAGCTAAAGGACACTGTAGAGAGGTTGGTGCTGGTCTCTTCTCACAGGTAATTAACAATAGAACGAGAGGGAACGGCTTCAAGCTCCAACAGGGGAGGTTTAGATTGAACATTAGGAAGGAATTTTTCACTGAAAGAGTGGTCGGGCATTGGAACAGGCTGCCCAGGGAGGGGGTGGAGTCACCATCCCTGGATGTGTTTAAGGGCCGTTTAGATGCAGTGCTGAGGGACATGGTGTAGGGGAGGACTTTGTAGAGTAGGGGAGATGGTTGGACTCGATGATCCCAAGGGTCTCTTCCAACCTCAATGATTCTATGATTCTATGATTATTTAATTGAGTGGGGAGGAAACGTAGAGGGGCAAGGGCGAAGATTTGGTCTTTGGAGGGGGAAGGGTGGGCAGCGATACCCGAAAGGGAAGGAGCTGTTGCCAACGGAAGGTGGACGACCCAGAGACAGCACGTACAGAGTATGTATTGCTGGAGAAGAGAGAAGCAGCAGCAGATGGTGGCTCACCAGAAACAGACGCAAGCAGCTCGTACGGAAACAAGATGTGGCATCAGGGGTCAGTTCAAATCAGAAACAAACTGTTCTGGGTAGATTTCTGACTTCGCTGGGAAATGAGAAACCTGGGTTCATTTCCCTCCTCAGCGTGAGAAGGTTCAAGCCTACGTGCCCCATTTCCCAGGAGAACAGTAACCTCTGGGATGTCAAAGAAGCTGGGAAGCGATGGTGGGACTGGTGGGAGGTGGCGAGAAGAACCCTCTGCGTGTGTCAAGATTCATTTCCCCTCCCACCAACTCTAACGTGTCCCCGTGCCATGAGGTGTACAAATCCTGGTGCCTTTACTATTGACAGAGTAAGTTCATGGTATTATATGTACATTAACCTGCCCTTCAGCTGCCCAGGGGTTAATACACCCAGTATCTGTCAGAAGCAACTGCTCTGCCTGGCACCTGGCTGACGGGCTACAGTTCACCGGCACCCACATTTAAAACCTGCTCTCATCTTTTCCATTCAGCTGTGGGATAGGCATTTTAGAACAATATTTAAAATTTACATGGACACATAAAATGACCTTAAAGCAGTACATTAAGCACTTCCTGAACTGCAAATCTCTAGTCCAGACCTGGGAACCGCTGTTGTCATCGCTCCCGGCAGCAAGACAGACTGTTCTGAGTACTCCTCCCTTCTCTTTCCATAGGAAGATTATCAGAAAAGACCTCTTTTTGCCCAAAACAGAATTGGTTTGCTTATACAAGGCACGCTTTGTGCAAGAATAAAGAAATGAAAAATGCACAACAAGTATTTGCAGTATGTTTCATAAACACTAAACTCAATAAAACTGGTTGATTCCAAACCAAACACATTCTGCACACGCTGAAGGCATAGCCCTTATATTTGCCATTAAAGTGCTGTATTTTTGAGGAATACTGAATTTGGTAATGCAAGGAGATAAAGAACCAAGCCTGCATTTCCTTATGTGTAGCTCTAAGATATAACAGATGGTTACTGGAAGAAAAGTGTAATTCATAAAACTGTGTTAAAATTGTATCGTTTACTGAAAGCAGCTATTCTGGAGTGGAGGGAGGGCACCAGAGAAGGCCAGTCACTACCAGGTAGCTCCTCTTTGCTTTCAGCTGCTCAGCTCCATAATAATTTTTTTCTGTGACTATTTCACAACTTCATCTGCTGCCACTGCTCTAACCTCAGCAAGGAACAGTAGGACAAAATTATATCTGTAGTGAATCAAAGGACACGAGTGCCTGGGGAAGCCTTTCTTGAATAAATTATGGCTACAGGAAAGAAGCTAAGTCTATTTGTGAAGAGCAACAGCCATTTTAGAAGTAGCTTCATGTGACAGCAGTTGGTACAAGTTGAGCAGTTTTTGCTCTCTCTACTTTCTGATTGAGTGTAGCAACAGTGGAGTTTTCACCGTTGGTGGAATTCGAGATGAGTATACCCAAAATAGTGTTTCAATTCCTCAGATATCTCCCATTCTGGAAGATAAACAAACGTAATACACTGGTGCAAAAAAAAAAAATAAAACCAGCAACTTTACAAAAAGAATGCTACTTTTATTTTCAAATGCTGTAAAAAGCCTCATATAAATTTTTTATAATGCTTCTATGTAACTTTCCCAACCACAACTAATGAAACAGTCTAGGAAAAAATATAGCAGTTGCCATTTCGACTCCAAGAACGAGCTGCTGTAATATATATCACCATCAAAAAGGACACGGTACAGTATGTTTCAATGCTGGCAATTGCTCGTGTTATTGAAAAAAAGTGAGAGCACTCCCTAAGCATTAGAGTATAAAGGGGCTAAACTGCAGTATTCCCTACCGGCTGTCGCAGAGGAACAAGAGCTGACACAACACACACCCTTTGGACTGCTCCTGCCCGTTTATCCTCGCGGTGTGGAGAGCTCTCAGCCAGCCCCTTTGCACTTCGGGGAGTTCACCCACGGCAGACGCTTTTATTCCATACTGTATCCAGGTGTTTAACAACTGACCTATAAAAATAACACTTATATAACTCTCCAGCAAGGCAAATTTAACAGTGCAAACGCAGTATCAACAATAATTGATTTCCCAAATGCTGGCAATTCTTTTTTTTTTTTTTTTTTTAACCTCCTTTTGCACATGAAACAACCTCCGCTGCTGTCCTGTGCCTAAGGCCACTCACTCCCGTTGATTGGAAATGGAACAAAGTGCAAAAGCTCAGCTGCGTTTCCCAATCCAAGCTTCCTCCCCAATTTCGGGGTATTCGGATCCAAAATTTGGATTCAGGCTCCCCACGTCCATCGATGCACTCAAAGTTTTCCTGCTGGAATAGCTTAACTTCCCAGCAAACCTCTGATAACAATTTGCATCCACGATTCCACATTGCAACAAAAGTTAACAAAACATACTTCCAGAAAATAAATTTTCACATGGTTGCAATCATCAAGCCATTTCAGGATCTTTGGTACTCCAAGAATAAGAAAAATAAATGGCACAGTGACAAACATCGCCAAAGGAAAACACACAACCATCCAAAGCAATAAGACAAAGATAACAAAACAAGATATGTTGCACTTTCATTTTTTGAAAGCCAGTGTAGATTAACCTTCTGTTCTCTAATCCATTACAGTGTCACAGTTTCACCTTTAAAAAAAAAAAATTTATCATCCTAAAAGCAATAGTTAATATTTTGTTTAACTCGTCTTACTGATTAAAATAACGCTATGTTTTTAAAAAAATAATAAATCAACTACCACAATACAGGAGTTTATGCTAAATAGGCTGCACGCTGTTTCCCTATGGTTATAACTCTTATGTGAGCACTGATATGATTAATCATCTGCAATTTTAAATGAGTATTATCTTTAGTGTTACAAATACAAGGATTGAGCTTTTTCCTAAGTTTGTAAACCAGTGAGTATGTACAGACATAGTTGTTTAATAGATAGCTTTAAATTAAGTGTGTATCTCCCCTCCCCCAAACCCCACAGGGATAAAAATCACCAGTATTTACTGAGCATTTGCAGTTCTCATGAAACTTATCTTGTCTTAGCAAGTTCAAACAAAGACTTCCTTTTGTATTACACAAATTAGGGTAACCATGGTCTTTTGAAATGTGCTGTTCACAGGAATTCCATTTCTGGTGCACATAGTGCCCCATGAATATGGTCGGAAATGAAAACTAATAAAAATTCTCTTTTGAATAGCAGTGTCCTTTGAAACCAAGTTTGCATCTCAGATATTTTCTGCCCAAGCTTCCCCGTTTCGGTAGAATGGATTGAATGCCTTAGAAAAGGAATTTCCTTTCCTGAGAAGCCTCAGAAGCCGCTGGGGCACTGGCAGAACAAAGCCTGAAAGTGTCAAGGTGGATTTCATTCAGTTCCTGGTTTTGGACAGTCTTTGCATGGACGGAGGTTGAGCTTCCCAACATAGACAAGGCTAAGAACAACACTGGAGAACCTCTGAGGGATCTTGCCCCAACAGCAGTAATTAGTGTTAAGGTCTGGGAAGAACAACTGGGAGATAAACGAGCTGTTTTCGCAGCATTTAGGCAGAAGTTTAGCTTAGCCACCTTCTGGTGGTGGAGCCACCTCCACACTGGAGAAATTGAATGGGCCCTGAAGCACTGGCTGCTCCTCTGTGATAACCTGCAGACTAACATTTCTTGTAGAAAGATAGTATAAATAACAGATATTTGATGCTTCAAGGGAGACAAAATACTGGAAGAAAGGCATCGCTGAACCCCTTGAGGAACCTGGTAGCTGTTGCTAACCTGCAGACTAAAATTTCTTGTAGAAAGATAGTATAAATAACGGATATTTGATGCTTGAAGGGAGACAAAAGTACTGGAAGAAAGACATCACTGAACCCCTTGAGGAACCTGGTAGCTGTTGGATTGAGGAAGACTCCAACATGTCAGTAAGCCACCCGTGTACAGAAATCTTGCTGGTAACTGGTCTTTTATGCAACAGACGAACACCCCAGTGCATTTTTAAAGCATACAAATAATTTAGAACAGCTGATACCATGGTTCCTAGCAGCAATAAATATTTCTATAATGGCTTTTTATAAAGAGTCAATTACATTTTGCTGCAAAAGCCAGTTTAATGGAGTCTTTCCTACTGTATGCCAAAGCTTCACTCCCCTGGGCTTTACATTGCCTTTCCCTCGTGTTCAGAGGAGGAAGAGAGCAACAGTGACCCTGCTGCAATTTCGGGGGGATTTTTCATTGCTGTAAACCTCTTTTGTAACCCCAAAATGACAAAGACCTCTATTGTATTGTGATAGATTCGAAGTACTGCAGTTAATATGCTGGTAGGGGTAGAGATAGAGGTAAATTTGCCAGCAGCCAGATAACTGCAGACTCTTTGAGCAGTGCAGTTCAGTCCTGAACCGCTGCTGGGCTGAGAAGCAAAACCATACCCTGCCTAGGGAGGGATTTCTGCTCCAGCTTCTGCAACCCAGGAGCCCCATCTCTGCTGCTGCTTTGTCACCACCCTGCAGGTTGGGGAGAACAGTGTTTAGATGCTGCGCCCAATTCAATCAGGGTTATTTGTGCTTCCTGGAAACTGGGCCTCAGGCTCAGCTGAACCTTTGTCATCCCATGGGCCACATTAGATAGTGATACCAGAAGAAGGTGGAGCCCACAGGAGAGTCTGCATCTAGTGAGTCTGAGCGAGGCACCCCATTTCCTCTGGCTTGGCAGAGGATGCTCCAGGCCATTCTGGAAAGAAAAGGCTGGAGCAGCAGCAGGAATTGGATGACTTTCCTAGAATATGTTTTGCACAGAAGGAAAAGGCGATTTGAATGATGAGCAGCAAAAAGATGATCAGCCTTACAGCAGAGGCAGAAATGCAGTCCCAGAAACTGCTGTCTCTTCAGAACTTGGTATCAGAAAGCTTTCCTTCTGTTAAAAATCTTTATGATTTTTATTCAGATTCCTTTTTCCTTTTCAAGTTGCCAACAGGCACCATCATCTGAAATAGTAATGCCCATCAACTGTCATTTAAAGCAAATACCACTACAGAGATCACAGAGACTGCTTCAATGCCACACACGGTGGGGAAAAAAAAAGGAAGAAAGAGAAGAAGGGATGATCAACTGCTGAAACCCTCCAGTGGGGAGGAGCGAGAGTGGGCAGGGTACAATTAGGCCCACAGGACACTGCTATTTACAATCATCCAGTGTTGCCACACACAGGGGATCTGCCGACCGCAGCTGGAACATCCTTAACTGCTCAGAGAATTTTGCAAATATGGGCACCCTTGAGCAACTGCTCAGAGAATTTTGCAAATATGGGCAGGGTTTTTTGTTTTTTTTCCCCACACTGCATCTCTAAAACCCCCCAGGTGAGCAGTAGAGTAACAACGCTGCATAAAATGCTATGTTTCACTCCTGGGTGGATTAGATGGTTTACAGTAAAAACACAGCCACGGAACAGAGAGGCATAATTAACCGTTACACACACATAGGCAGTGCGGTTACAAAGGGATGGACCTTCCTTTTATTCCAGTACCTTCATATAATAAAGTTAACAAAAATATTCAAATATTTAAAAAAAAAAAAAAAAATAGCCAGCTGGCACTGCCAACTAATTCCTGTAGTAGTCTTAGAAATCCTAAGCCTGTAGAATTTCCTTGTGAAATCGATGCGCACCAGAGTCAATGTATTAATCACTAACGCCAAGCGGGTCTGGTGATGCAGCTACCTGAGGTTTGTAGTTTTATTTTTGTGGGGTTGTGTTTCGTTTCACAACTTCCCGGCTTTCATGTAGGAAGGGATGGAGCCACGCTGCGTGAGCCCTTCAAACCTCTTGTAGGTGTAATTGAGGAAAACCCAGTCTTTGGATTTGTAGTCAGGTTCTGTTGCGTTTGGCACTAGAATTGAGAAACAAAAGGAAACACAACAACAAAAGAAGACACGGTTAAAACCGGCGCTGCTTCTGAGCCAGTGCTCTGTGCAAAAGCCTCTCAAACAGCCCTGAAATCTTATTGCCCCGGTCAGCAGAAATTCCTTGAATAAATCCTGGTTTTAATCAGGTCAGTTGCCTTTTGGCAACGGTCTGAGAAGAGTTATAATTTCAGCATTTATCTCTGAAGCAGAAAAAGGGTTTTGTTATTTTTTTTGTTTGGGTTTTTTTTTTTAGTATATGCACACACCCTAACAGGCTCCCACACCTTGACAGGAACCTCTAACACACCCACAGGATATACAGTTACAAAAAAATGTAACGTTTACCATGCTTCACGTGCAACAAGTGCGTGTATACACATTTTATCTTCACCATAAACAGAAGAAAAAGAGAGATATATCCAAGTTCTCCCAAGAGAGCCACACCTGTCATGCACATACTGCTCTCCTGCTCACAGCCAGGCTCATGCAGCCTCCTCCTATTTTATGAGCAGCTGCCACACTGCACAGACATTTCCACAGTGAGCTTCTACATCTAGCTTTCAGAGTTCTATAACAATATTTTCAAACTCAAGATGCCAAACACATCGACATCAAAGTTTTATTTAGGAATCTAGATGTACGGTAACATTTTCAGTGGGTCCAAGATGCCAAAACTGATACAAATGTACTGGTATTATCCACTTAAACTTAAACTTAAACACCTTAGCTTGGGCAGTGCAGATTGATGGCTTTTGCATTAAAAGACCAAACTCTTCCTTGCCCTTAAATAAAAGCCGTTTCAGAAAAAAACACCTCAGCATTTTGATAATTCTTATGGTTGTTAGTACATCTACCTGTCATCAATTAATCATTGTTATATATCTATCTTTAAGCCATTGAAAACAGTGGGAGAACTTGGCATGTCAGAGAACCAAGGCTTTTATGTATAAAGATTTCCTACTACTTGTCAATAGAAAATAACAATTAAAAAAAAACACCTTAAATTATTTGCAGAGCTACTCAGGTTCATATAGCACTATGTTAAATATTCATCTGTCCAAAAATTTTGCTCACAAATATGTGAACGTTTATGTTTGGCATGAAACTCAGAAGTCATTAGAAATCAAAGCAAATAAGTGCATAATGTTTTACCAGAATTTGGTCAGACAGACCGTACGGTAGAAAACCACACTGTTTTCTGTGCTCAGTATGTGTGCAAACCAATTTTTACTAAGAGATTTAACTGTAAAAATCTGTGGGCTTTTTTTTTTTCTGCAAAGCTATACAGGAATAGAAGCCATGAGAAACCATAGGCCTACATTTATATTTTTAAAAAGTCTCTAGATCAAGTCTGTATTTTAGCTTGATTAGGGTATCACAAAATTAATATAAAAACAACAACAGCAGCAGCTGAGGACTATTCTAGCACATCACAGATAAAACTTTGGAATTTACAATGGCACTCTCACCTGGCTGTAAAATATCAGATTCAGGAAATTCATCGAAGTTGGAAGTATCATCAAAACTTTTGATTTCTATAGGGATCGCGGCTGGTCTTTCCCTGCAAATAGAAGCGCCAGAACAGCAAATATTAGCAAAAGATACAAAGTTTTGTTTCATTTAGCTTTTAACATCACTTGAATTTAAAGCACAAAGGTTCCACCCAATCCATCCCAGATCTGACTTGCCTGTTTGCTGACCTCATGGGGAGAGATTCAGTGGTTTCCTATCTAGCATTAGTATCTTCTTGGCAAACTTGGGGGGAAAATATAATTTTCCCATTAAGTGAAACAGCATTCCACACTTATCTGCCATAGAGCTATCTGTATGATCTTTGATGTCACTGTGAACCACTGTGGTTACCTCTGTTTCATAAACCCAGCTGAGCATGATTTTACTTGCACCTGGAGCCACCAGATTTGTTGCTCTGTAATTGCAGCACCCATCAGCCTGGGCCTCACCCAAAGGCCAGACACTCGGCCACCGGGATCTCTCATCCAACAGGACTCGGCTCCAACACGTTACTGCTTTATTAGCTCAATAATTAGGCAGCCCTTTAAGGAGTTTTAAGGTGGTTTCAAAGTCACTGAGGTGATCTGTCTCACAAAAGCATACAAACACAGCACTACGGCAAAAGTCATTCATTTACACCTGTAAACCTAATACAGTTGTACGTGCTGCAATTACAATTAAATCCACATCTGGGTGGAACAGGGAAACCATTTTTCCAGGCTGCCAGATGTGGCATGAACAGATACATCACTGCTCTTGCTGCTTATTAAAGTCTCCCACCCCACAAAGATAAGTTAATGAGGCTTTTTGCACCAGAGGAAATGAGAAGTACAAGAGCTGGACAATCACACGTCCACAGTATGGATTTTCACCTAGACAACTGCAGTATTACTGGAAGAGCAGACTACCTCAAACAGTAGCCATCATTTCAATGGAAAGTATCTGTGGTCCCACCAAAGCCTAAAGGTGTCACCACGTTGGGCACGTGGAGATGTAGCTCAGCACCTGCAGGCACAAGCTCAGGCTGGGACTGCCTCAGCCCAGCCCTCCAACCAGCAGGATTTTGCCACAGAGGTGGTGGCTCTGAGGGGACTCAGTGCCTCTGCCCAGACACAGGGGTTCACTCAGGTGCAGTACCTGCAGCACGCACTACACACATGCCCTGCCTCTCCTCTTTATTCCAAAAATGCAGGGGAGACAAATAGAATTTGCTTTTTTCTTGTGCTCCTATTACAAGAAGTCCATTATAGCAATAGCTGTAGAGCCTGTTGCTACTGGAGAGGAGCTCTCTGCTGGTATCACAGCACACATCAGGAACACAGCCACCCTACCACAATTTCTTTCCATCTTGGGCACTCTGAGGCATCTCAAGACAGTTAAACTCTGATCAGATCTATGAACGTCAGCAAGGCCTGAAAACCTTTGCTGTCACCCACCTACTGCTTTTCAAAATAAAAGATTCATTGGAAATAGTTATCCTTGACATCTTAGTGCATGAAATTCTTGCTTTCATGGCTTTTATTCTCTCTACAAAATGTATATATATACCTGATATGTCCCCAGTCCACTCCTTCAAAAAACTGATGACTTTTTATTTCCTCGACTCCATTACTACCGATTCTATTTTCTGAATCGATACAAAACCTGAAAAAGTGGAAAAAAAAATAAAGGGAATGTTACAATAAGTGCAGACAGAAGCAATAGCAAATAAATACCACCATGGTATCCTGTATCAGGCATTTGAGAAAGGTCTTTCAAATATTTTCATTGCTTGGGGTAACACAAAAGCAGCTCGCTGCATCTAGGGGAGAAGGGAAATAGTAGAAGCAGAATATTGTTAGAGTCCCATGATGACAGTAACTTACACATTTTCTAGGCTGTTGAATCCCCATCTTCAAGGTTTGTGAAAAGTTGATGCAAGTTCTAGCCCTGTAAGATTAGTTTGGAATGAAGGCTTAAGTTAAAAGGTGAAGATAGAGGATTGTTGAGCCGGCAACTGTTACCTAAGCTTACGTTAAAAGGTGAAGATAGAGACAGAGGATTGTTGAGCCGGCAACTGTTACCTGCTCAAGTAGGCAGGAGGAAAAACACCAAGGGAAGTACAACATCCTAAAAAAAATAATAGGGAGCTGCAAACTCTCCAACAGCAGCTCAGCAACACCAAGGGTCTGTTCCAGGGAGCAGCAGAGGCTGACTTCTCTGGACTGCCACCCGTGTGGCTGGAAAAGACTCTTGAGTATCTCATCAAGGAGATGGTGAGCACATCAATGCTTAGCCTCCCTGCTCATTAAATCTTAGCTAGATCTTTGGCAACACATACAAAAAAGATAACTGCTTTATATTTATACAATGTCCTTGCGGTCTCTTTGAGCACGGCTGAAGGTGTCAAAAGTGACAGAAGGAGGGACATTGACAATAACGGGGAAAAACTCCCATATCATACAAAAAGCTTAGTCTTGCCAAGCGTGGAGTCACCTGATGATCTCTGGAAGTGGGGAGCACTTGGCAGCATGGCCATGTGGGCCTCTGGGTGCTCCAAGCAAGGCAGCTGGCCTTTGTTAGATGGAACCCTGTTTGCCTGCACGAGCAAAGCCTCTGGCTGGTGATTTAGGTACCATGAACTCATCATCTCTCCACGCCATCACATCATCCAGATTCACAAGGAACTTTAAACATCAACACATTGCAATACAAAAAAGGTCACCTTACTAGTCAGTGAAATTTTCAGCAGATAATCTAAGTAATGTAGCGAGTTACACTACAGATTCTCTCCAATTATAGACTGTAATGTTCTTTTACTTGTAGTTGAGTGTCACTTGGGGAAAAAAAAAAAAAAAGCACTTCTATTTCTACTGCAACCCAGCCAGTTCATTGATGCCGAGTACTAATAATAGACCTCAAACCTTCTAACAACAGTTGCCCACACCAGGTCTCAGGATTCACCAGACTTTGAATTTGAGCTTATTTTAGTTTGATTCTGTCTGTATCCATAAGGAAACTAACTTTTCCACAACTTCCTTTAGGCTGAAATAACCATTGTCTGACTTGCCCAAGCTACAACAAAGTACCAACAGCCAGGTATTTGTAGCTTAACCTGCTGGTTTGACCTTGGTTTAGTGAATTGTCTATAACTAGAGAAGCTTTACCCTAATTTAAATCATTCCATATATGGTGAAAAACTAATACATTCAAGTAGCCGTTGTATAACTATATTCATGAGCCAATCAGCAAGACATGTTAACAAATTAACTGCCCAAACTATCTGAAAATGCCCCAAATGCAGCCAAAACTGAGGAGGAAATCCTTAGCAGCACCACTGTACACTTCCCAGCAAAGACCTCGGGATGCTGACAACATGCAGGAGAGGTTAAGCAAAACACTAGAGAAATAGGTACTAAAAACATAATAAGACTGTTATACTCAATCTTATTAATGAATATTAGCAATAATGAATTAATTTGAACTTTGTTAGTATCACTGTAACTGGATTAAGAATAACTGTTGTATTTGTTATATTTGTTGTGTGCTACTGGGGTACTGCTTGGACTAATAACAAATTCTAGTTCTTGGTTCTGCCTATTCAATACATTTCCCTTTTTCCCCTCTAACAAAACCATGGAAGTTTGTAATATTATCTTTGAAACAAATCAAAGCCAAAAATCATCCCTCCCCAAACCTCCCAGGAGTTCTGCTTGACCTTGACACCAAAACCCCTCACAAAAACATCAATGCAAACCGAATGGATTAAAAATTGGTGGTTTGGAAGAAGTGAATAAAGCCAGAACATCCAGAGATTTCTGTTCCGTGCATTAAATGCTGCTGAGCAGTTATTTTTTAGTTCCTTCCAAGAAGAGAAAAATTATACGTTAATCACGTTTTTTCCCCCCCTTCTTTTTTTTCAGTCTGCTCTGTTTCTCCTGATACAGTGGTACAAATCAAGATCATTATATCTTATTATTCTTCTATCTTTTTCCTTCATGTTAAACAAATGGCAAAGGGAAAAAGACTGAAAAAAAGTCCATCAAGGATGGTGACACAGAGTACACTAACTTTTCCTGCAATCTAAAGCTTCCTTCACACAGAACAGAAATGTAACCTAGTGGAAGGTGACTGCACGTGGGCTTTTGTTACTGACCTGAGAATTAAATCCTTTGCTTTCTCTGAAATGGGCACCTCTGGAGGAAATATCAACGTTTCTTTCCAGTTCATAACTTTCCTATAGGTTTCTTGTGGCGTTTCTGAGCAGAAAGGTGGATACCCTGCACAAACAATAGAAAAATTAACAAGCTTTTCCCAGAAGAGGAAAGTGACCTCTGCTTTCCCCAGTTAGTAGTAGCAGCCAATGCTAAATGCACTAATAATGCAACATTTAAGGTTATTTTGTTACCTCCAAGTAATGAGATTGAACTTCAAAAACAGTGAAGACTATTCACTGACAGAGCTAACTGAGGAATCGTCTCTTGCTGCCTTTCTTGGAAAGGTGGGAGGACTTCAAAGTCTTCTGGAAGCTGAATTTGGAGCTTACTTCAGGGAGAACAGAATGAAATTCTGGTCCTTCCACTACGCTTGGGATCAGACTCCGTGAACTGATGGACACCGTTATCACCTTCAAACCCTTGGAATGATTCTTTGGTTGGGTCTTTAACCTACCTATTAGCATTTCATACATAATCACTCCCAAAGACCACCAGTCACACAGCTTGTTGTACCCAGTCTGCATAAATACTTCTGGTGCAATATAGTCTGGGGTTCCAACAGTAGAATATGCCTGGAAAAAAGATATAAACTCTTTAAAAGACAAAAACTACTTTTTTACATTTTGCAAAACTTTTTTTCCTGGGGATTCACATATAGGAGCTTGTTATTTGGATGGACAAGAATACTTAATTTGAGAATTCACAGTATCTAAAATCCCAAGAACATCATTCTTTTACATGAGTAAGCACAGAGAACCTCGAAAGTTAATGGAAGTCATTCTCCTAAATGTGATAAAACCATAGAATATACCCACTGCAATATCAGAAGGTCATCTTAGCTAGAGTTTCAGGTAGGCACATTATTAAAATACCCAAGAAGTTCTGTTGTTGTAATTGTTTTGTTGTAATTGTTGTTTTGTTTGGGTTTGGTTTTTTTTTAAATAAAAAGGATAACCAGTGGTAGATTCCCTTGTGTGACACCCATGATACCCTACCTGTTCCATGTATCACCTAGGATAACCAGTGGTGGATTCCCTTGTGTGACACTCATGATACCCTACCTGTTCCATGTATCACCTCGTCTTTATTGCTAAATTAATTTGAGCTCTTACTCAGGTTCCATTCTTTTATCCTTTTGAATGCACAGCCTAGATGATTCTGGCTAATGACTAAATCTTGAGCTATTTGAGAATTTCTCTTTACTGATGGAAAATTTTGCACAGGGCATGGGGGAAGAAAAAAGAACCCCAACAGAAAACAAAAACCCAAGAAAGTCCACGAAAACCAGTTCTGCCAGCAAAATCTTTTACTTTCATTTGTCTGACCATAAACAAAATGCTTCGTTTTATCAAGCAGAGCCAAGACATTTAGTTTTGAACCAACCGAAAACCAGTGGCTCCTCTTGAGGCTCCTTTTCAAATAGCATTGATAGAAGTTGTCGTTTTGATCTTTTATTCTCTCTGTTTGACTGTCACATGATTGATTGAGCTCCATCACACCACTCTGCCACACCAGTTACTGACCTGGAAATGTAGTCTTTTCAGGGATCTAACTGCAAGCAGGACTAAGGGCATGAAATACAGCCCCTGTGAGGCAGCACGATTGCAACAATCTCATCATGTCTTATAAAAGTAAAAACAACTCAAAAGCTTTTTGGGAATACTTTTTGGCATATCACTTTTTGAACAGAGAATACAAAATAAGAAGTTCCAAAATTTGAAAACTGAGGTTTTTGCAACTGCTATTTAGTGCAGGGCACCAAAATACAAGCAGGGCTGAAATTCTGAAAGCCCAAGGCTGACGGATACTTTCCTTTGATTCAGTTAATGCCAGAGGGCTGTTTATTACTCGACAACTCACTACAGAGCCAGGCTGCACCGCTCCAGTGCCAATACCCTCCGCTGCCTTTCTATCGTAATCCTGTTCAGCAGAAGGACAAAAAAAAGTTTTCCCCACAATTTTCTGAAAAAAAAAAAAAATATATAAATCACGCAGCGACACATCTTCTTGCAACATTGAACTGCAGGAGTTAACCCAGGAGCTCACACAGTGTCACTGCCAGGTCAGTTTAGGAGACACACTCGAGGTACAGCCATTGCTGGTGCCTGAGGTTTGCTGGTCCTGATGCTCATGAGGGAAACAAAGGCAGGGACTTGATAGTTACAGCTGTGAAAACAGGCAGATGAAGTGACCAGGCTGATGGTCATCCTTTCACCCTTCCCCTCATCTCTGAGCTATTCCACAACTGGAATCACTAGAGCACCTTCTTTGGAGTTAACTGAAATTTTGGGTTCAGGTAACTGAAAGTTAACTGAAACTTTCAACTGAAATCAGTTGGAGAGAGTAATATCTGTAAGGCATGAGGGCCTTTCAGTTTTAAAGATCCAGCAGCATTAACGCCCGTTTTTTATTTAACATTTTCTGTAAATCATAGAATCATAGAATCATTGAGGTTGGAAGAGACCCTTGGGATCATCGAGTCCAACCATCTCCCCTACTCTACAAAGTCCTCCCCTACACCATGTCCCTCAGCACTGCATCTAAACGGCCCTTAAACACAGCCAGGGATGGGGACCCCACCCCCTCCCTGGGCAGCCTATTCCAGTGTCTGACCACTCTTTCTGTGAAGAATTCCTTCCTAATGTTCAATCTAAACCTCCCCTGTTGGAGCTTGAAATAGGTTAAAAGCAAAGAAGTTATATGTGATTATATTAACTCACCAGCTGTCGCCTGTTCTTCTTCCATGTTTCTGCTTTTCTCTTTGAGTTCATATTCTGAAATGCTAATTTACAAAATAGTTAGTAGATAATAAATGCATTTGAGAATTAAAAGATTGATAACGTTCTGTTGTCAAATAACTCTTTTATGGCTTTAGAATGCTCTAGTCTAGAAACAAAAACTTGATTATAACTGGAGATGGGAAAATTATAATGAATAAAACTACTGTCCAATTTACAGCAGAAAATCATGTAAGTAGGACACATGATCAGCAATTCTAAATTAGAACTTGTTAAAGGCTTTACAGATTGATCTGAGATCAGCAGCCCTTATTGTTGCAGCTGGCAACGTATATGCAGATACAGGCGATATTTTTTTAAGCAACAAGTGAAGAATGCAAGAACTACAGAGTGATTTTACATCTGTAGAATAAAACATGAACATGGATGTGTCACCAAGGCATGCTGATGAACAACTTTACCCTTATGAAAAGCTTCCCAAGACTGTTACTGATTTTTGTGAGTCACCACATAAAACCCATGGCCCTTCTGAAAGGGTGTTTCTGTAACTTCACTAACATTGGTATGAAAAATACATTAAAATATAGATACAAATACACATAATGTATCTGTGTACAAATGTGCAAAAATGCATTATCACTGCAGAAATCATGATTTCTTTCCTGTGAAATGCTTCCATGTCCCAGGGAACGTGCAGTTCCAGTTTGCCAACTAAATTCACTCAGCCTGACCAATCTTGCTTAACCCAGCAGAAAAAAAAATTACAATGTGGCATAGCTGTAGCTCAGAACTCTTCAAATATTTAACCAGGACACCTTATACTTACAGAAGTCACTGGGTGGGTTGTGTGTAAGGTTCCTGTAGAACTCTGTTCTGTGAGCTTTCTTTAAACCTGTGCATAGCCCAAAATCAGACAGTTTCACATGACCCTAAAAAAAAAATTCAGAGAAGATAAAAAACAGAATTTAGAAAGGTAGTGCTCGAAAAAGAAAGTTTTAACAACTGTACCTGCCTTCACAGGCCATGATGGACTTGCCCATGACTACCTAATCCAGGACAAGTAGGCAAATAACAACTGAATCTTGATATACATTATTAATCTTGATATATATTATTAATGGAGCAGGTTCAAGTTGGAAGCTGTAAGAGCATGTTTTCTCTCAAAAGGGTTATTGCCTGCTCCTCCCTGGGAATGGTTACATCTAAGAGTGTGTTTTCTCTCAAAAGGGTTACTGCCTGCTCCTCCCTGGGAATGGTTACATCTACAATTCTGCAGCAGTAGAGTTTGCCTGGTTTTGTTTTAAACTGGATACCATTGAGAGTGAGAAAGCCTCCAGAACAAAATTCCTTTGTTTTGTTTTGATGGTAACCTATTTCTAATCAGGTTTCCAAACATCAGTGCTAGATAGTCTACAGATTTGGGTGTGATGCTTACTGGGTCTGTTTCATGGCTCGCTAGAGTCAGTCTAACCCTGGTGATAATTGCAGGAATTTCACTGATTATTTAGCACTGTCTGAATGTTTCATGCTTTTGCTCGATTTGAAGTAACTAAGTATATCAGTTTTTAATGTGTACGAGCATCTGGCCACCTGAAGTGGGTCTTCTCACTTAAAAGGTTCAACCTAAAAGGGCTAAAGGGCTTTCCAACAAAAAAAACAAGGGCAGTTTTGCTTTAAGTGTACTAGTGTTGAACAAGGAAAAGATAATGACCACTTTCTGCCTTTACTCCAGCTAGTTTAAAATCACTGGTGTGGCACTACTGCTTCCCACCAATTAGCATCACAATAAAGGGCATTATCTGCAGACCATCTGCAGTTTAGGAGCACATTACTTGCCTTAGCATCCAGCAAAAGGTTATCTGGTTTGATATCTCTGTGGATGAATCCCAGCTGGTGAATAGCATCTATGGCCAGCACAGTTTCAGAAATATAAAACTGTGTCTCCTCTTCTGATAAGGTGTCTTTCTTCATTAGTAAGGTCATCATGTCACCTAATCAAAGAGCAGAAAATACAGCTTAGAAATCAGAACATTTTAATCACAAGACTAATTCTATGTGAAACCCCAGTAGAATCCAAATTCAACCTTGTAACTGGCCTTACAGCTACTAATTATGAAACTATTACTGGAAGGACCTACAAACCCAACATACTTTTTTAGTAAACTGGATGTAAAACTGTTGAAAATCCCAAATAGGAAATTTAATTGGATAGACCAAGAAGATACAGTGAATTGTAACGCATAATACACGTATTGCATGTATTTACTGCCTTCAGCAGTTACAAGCCAAACACTGGATCAGAATAATTATTTAATCCAAGTCTATTTTAAACGCCCTTCCATAACCTCTTTCCCCTAAAAAGCAGGAGTGATTACATTACTGAGACTTCATTTTAAACAGCATTAATTTTTTTATTATAGAAAAATTACACAGTATGCTCGTTTTTAACATTTCATGAAGCTGACAAGAAAAGCTAAGGAAGAAAGAGTCTTATCACCTAACACCAGGACATGCAGCTTACCTCCAGGTAAGAACTCCATGATCAGGTAAAGATTTCTTTTATCCTGAAAGCTGTAAAACATTTTCACTACCCAGGCTCCATCTGCTTCAACCAAAATATCTCTTTCTGCTCGGATATGGGCCACCTAAAATTAGAAAAACCAAACCACTATTATTTAAGAACAATTTAAATACTTCACCAGGGAATGCCATATTATATTCCCAGTCCTACAATATATTTTCATGATCTTTCATGAAGAAACTATTTTTCATGCTTTTTAAATACATTTCATAGTTTTTCATAGTTTTTGACTAGGTACCTATCAGTCCTCATAAAATACCAAACAAACTCACAGAAGTGATAGGACAAGGGGTAATGGCTTCAAGTTGCACCAGGGGAAGTTCAGGTTGGATATTAGGAAACATTTCTTTACTGAAAGGGTTATCCAGCATTGGAATGGGCTGCCCAGGGAGGTGGTGGAGTCACCATCCCTGGAGGTATTTAAGAAACATGTAGACATGGTTCTTCAGGGCATGCTCTAGTGCCCAAGATTACTGGTTTGTGGTGGGATGCTGTGTGGGTGGGTGATGGTTTTTGGTTTGGTGGTTGTTGTTGTGTGTTTAGGTGGTGGTTTGTGTTTTTTGTGGTGGTTTTTTTTTTTTTGGTGGTTGGACTCTATGATCTCTGAGGTCCCTTCCAACCACCACAATTCTGTAATTCTGTGAAGTCAACTCAATGTTGGCAATAACTGTTCACACAGCTTTGCAGATGCATTGCTTCTTAGGTTGCATCTGTTTGTTGGAAAGAACTGAAAAATACGATGCCAAAGTGCAATTTCCCATTTTACTATATCCTAAAATGAAATAGGAGCACTTAAAAAAAAATATACAGAGCCGACCATTGCAGACCTTTACATGATACTGCAATCTCAGACAAAAATGTAATGTGCAACTCAAGGTGCAAATACTGACAGTTATTGGAAAAGGCTAGAACTGGTCTTAAAGAACAGCCCCCTTTTGGTCTTGGGCTATTTAAGGCCGGGGGGGTGGGATGGGAAGGGAAGAGAAGATGGCACTAGTTCTCCAACTGATGTGCACGAAGCTGGCCCAGAGGTGATGCTGCCACCACTGCTGCTGATCTTGGTCCTGGGCAAATGAGTTTGGGAACATCTGACCTTGCTCTGGATATTCCAGTCCCACCTGAGACGTCGGTAAATATACAGAGAGCTGCTACCCCATGAATTCACTGGAAATTAAGAGTAATGGAGATGGGAGGGAGAGGTGTATGTTTCACTAGAATGTACCCTCATCGTGAGGGGAAAATGAAAGACACATGCATGGAAAAATATTTCTTGACAGCTTTAAGGTTTTCATTATTCATATACCAGAAAGCAGCTTCTGGAGAGAAAATATGTACCGCTATTCCAGCTTTGAGGGCTATTTCCAATAAGCAGCAAACAGTCTTCTGCATCTCTTCCCCAATTCTACTAATCAGGAGCATCTTTATGTGTATGTGTTCTTTTCAAAGGGTTTCACAGGGCAATGGTCTCTCTCTCTGTAGCAGGCACTCCAACTTTGATTTATCTAGCTCTATCTGTTCTCGTTAGAAAATATTCCTTTCCACCCTCCACTCCTCAATGTAGCTATAAAATATAACATTAGATCCTTGCTTAAAAACAGCCAGGATATCACCCAGTGCTATCAGGCTTATCTTTTTTGTGTGTGTGTGTGTATTTGTGTTCCTTTCCATTAAACAAACCAGGCAATGAAAATTACAGCACATAAACATTCTCCAGGGAAGATTACCATCCCAAACTAAAGGAGGCTCAGCCTCCTTGCCACGTCAGGTGATAAAGGGGGGCAGAGCTTTACACCTGAGGGCTACACACATCCAGGCTGCTGTGCAGAACATGCTGCTCCTCTGGTTCCCTATATTCAGTGGAGGAGACAAAAAGTCTGTGCCAAGAAAAAAAAAAAAAAAAG